CTTTTTTTTTGGAGATCGATTTCTTCGTAAACAAATTTGACTTCCAGATTTTTGTAGACCTTTTTTTTTTAGACAATTTCTCCGGGTCTGTCTTTGTAAAGCACCGATTTTCAGATATCCGGTTTTGGCGATTCAAGTAACGGGTTATTCGAATAACCGGTTTTAGCAACTATTCGACTAACCGGTTTTATCTGAAATCGGTTTTTACGGAACCCGGTTAACCGGTTTCACTTTTTTCCGGTTTTTGCCAGCACTAAATGTAATCCATTTCTAATGACTAATTTGTGTATTGAAGCGTTTATTTAAATTTCCCGCCACCTATCCTCACACATACTCTATTGCGCTGCTTTTCTATGTTTGATTATTTATTTCTCTGTAAAATGTGTTTTTGTTCCTTTCATCTATTAATGTCTATATTTTTTTCGTCTTACCATTTGCATTTTTTCCCGTAAGAACCTATGTTAGATATTCAAATTTTTGACATTAATTAAAAACAAAAACAAATCGATAAATAAATCGAGAATAATTCACAGAATTTGATTTGGCATTGCAAAAATAATATATCTCATAATACGAAATTGACTACATTTTTTCGTAGCACCCCATCCTCCTTAAGGGGTGTGATGTGTAGTTGTTTTCTTCGCCTGTGGCAAAAAATCAGTTACAAGGAAAAATTCATTACCTACTATCACCGTTACGTTCGGCTCTGAGTAGATTGTGTCACGTCAATCTTGATTTGCCGCATCGCCAAATTTCTACAATATAGACGCTTTGTTAATTCGTTCCTTTGCCGTTTTAAATTGGTTTTAATGAAAAAATACAGTGGAATGGGACGCGTTCATTGGCGAGGACGCCCGCGCCCCGGGGGGTAAATTGGAAATAAATCGAGTCCATTGCCGCAGAGTAAATTGTCTTTCCCCTAATTAATTCCATTCCGCGCGGGTTTGCGCACGAAAAACTCGAGCAAAATTTAGGAGAAGTTTATGTAGATGTCGTAATACGAGCAAGTTTGATATTTTGCGGGTTAAACGTAAAACAATAGCTTAAATGTGAAATGATATTCCGATGATTGATCTAGTTTAAAGAAACTATTAAAGAGTTATTGAATTTAAAAGAAAATACGGTATGTTTTTACTCTTTTTTCTTATTCAGCCATTTCAATAGGTAATCGGTGACATTATATTAATCCACAATAAATAAATCAGCAACAAAAATAAACTGTGAACAGTTTAAATTTAAGAAGAATCCGATCCTGTTCCGAGGGCTTACAAAGGGTAACGGAGATTAGCCTCTGTTGTCCTGTTAAAATTCCGTATTGTGCCCTGGTAACATATGACGGTATGATAAACAGGTAAAAAACAAACTGCCACGTTAATTTGGCAAATCATGAAACTCTGTTACATTTTTACTTTAGTTTGTGAAGTGTTTTTGTGTAGTGCAAGTGTATAACCCGATAAAGTTAATTATTTCAGTGTTTAGTGAGTGCAAACCGTACATTTGTGCATTCGTTTCAAGTTTCTGTGTGATATTAAGAGAAAGGAAGTATGCAAGTGTACATTTGTCAGGACAAAACGATGCTGTTGCAAGAAAGAGACATCAGATGCACATCTCATAAATGATTGCAAGCCACGTGATCAGTATTTTGTTTGGAACAGTGATTTTATTTCCTTCATGTTGCCAATTGCATTTCGGTAAAATTAAAAATTATCAAAACAATAAGATCAAGATTACAAACACAACATTCTGTTTCACCGGCTGTGATTGGTGTATCTAATTTTTCACGAGGTCTTATTCAACCAATCAGCCATCGCATTACCTCAAGCGTAGCCGTAGCGGTTTGTCATTGTTCATCGTGAATGAATAATTAATATTGGTGTCGACAAGATTTGGGGATTTTTCCTGCAATGTTGGTTGCCTAAGCTCAGCGGTCACGGGGCTTGTAAACATTTAAGAAGGCTCTGTGTGTCTGTACCTCAGTTTTGTAATAATTTTGGTGGTAACAATTTTAAACCGGCTTCAGACTGCCGAAATTGTTTAATCAAAATCATGTGATAAGACACACAAACAAATTACTTTGATCAAACTGATTTAGTCAAAATAGTAAAATAACTAGGTGCAAAATTCTTGGGGATGACCGAAATTAAGTGAAACAAACACTTATTATTGAATAAAGAGCGTTGAAAATATTTAATCAATTGAAATATTCGACTCTAAACTAAGGACGTCCTGTTCAGATTTTAGATATAAGTATAACCCTACGAATTTTTTTAGGAGCATATTGGTATAGGCTCTACAGTAAATTTAGTTTCTACATGTTTAATAATGTCGTTTGATTCACTGGGCATACGCTTTCTTACTGCATATTTTTCAAATTTTGTTACCAATTAATACATCCCCACTGTTAAGTATTCAAAATTTAAGTTTACGTTTTTTTAGTTTAATCTAAATCATGAAATCAGCATAACTGTAGTTATGTTTGCATTCTTAGTGCTGGAAACTTTTAAGCTGAGTGCATGAGGTACAGGGTGTTCCAAAATCAGTAAACGTCAACAGCTCTACATTGATAAGGTAGGTTAAAAATGGACTCCAACGTCCTTTTGTTGAAACATCCTGTATATTTAACCTACGTAATACCAAAATAATAGAAAAACTACCTACCCTTTACACACATTACCACATGACGCTAGCACCAAAACAACCTGGAATATGTCTGTGTTAATTTAAAATGGTCTGTTAGATGGGTGAACATAAAAAAATGTATACAACATCTGCGTTGCCATGGGAGATTCAATTTGGAGGATAAACAAAGTCGAGGGATAAGTATAATTCAACTTTATTCTCATTATGTACACGATTCATATCCATTTTTATTTATGCTCCAAACTGATTAGTAATGTTGGACGCAGTATCTCAAAGGTATGAAATGCAAAGGCGGTATTATCATGTGTGAGGTAAAGAAAGCGAAAAATAAATGAATAAAAAATAACAAAACAAGACGGGAAACAGAACATAGAAAAATTGGCAAAGCACATACTCAAAAGCCTAACATATGCGAATGATGTGAGATATTTTATTTAAGCCATCTCAATTGATACCGATTGAGCTGGCTACTCGTTTTCTTTTTCGGAAAATTGTTATTGTGGCGTGTATTGTTTTAAGATTACAATCAATTGGCCTCGTTTGTCTATAATTTCTATTAACAAGTCACATCTATTCTGCGGCGATATTTTCTAATCACGAACCAAGAATGGCTTATGTGTCACGTAATAGACACGAATGAGGGCGAATGCGAAAATTAAAATAAATAAGTTACAATGAAACAGAAATGATCTGACCATTTCATATAAAAATTTAGGACCTTTTACATGAGCTCAAGTGTTCATCCTATAGGATGTATCAAATAAGTTTACTGATACAAGAATGGTCGGCTCAATTTTTAATGATATTTGAAAGGTGTACCGTTTCATAAAAATCATAACCAGAAATATAAAGAAATATATATCAAATGCCGATGAGCCATCCATTATTCAAATGTTATGTTGCCAGTTTTATCCAGATGTCGTTCATTTTACCTAATATTGGCAGAATTATTTTGACATTTATTTGTTTTATGTTCTAGCACGAAAAAGACTTTGGAGTTCTAAAAGATAAAAGTGTATTGCAGCTAGGTGGCGAGAAAGACCCACTTTGTCAACTGAAAATTTAACGAAAACGTCGACTTTTGATAAACATTTCCGAAAAACATGCCTGTATATTTCATGCAGCATCCATAATAATCATTTGCACTTTGACATTGTATACAATTTGTATCATCTCTGGAAGCTTCTTATTTACTTTATTTATTTTTTTATAAATGTTAATTCCAAACTTAGCAGTTTTAATTAAATATAAGAATGTTCGCATCTAAATAATAATACAATAGATTAGGTATATGGGAAATTGTTATAGATCAATTGATAAAATGATAAAAATGCAATGTTTAGATATAGTACGTATTGTCTCAATGCTGATAACTAACAAAATTGGTTATTTTTAGCAGTAGCTATTTGCCAGAGAGATTTTTGATACAACAGATACTAGGAAAATATTGTAATTATAAGTGAATTCTAATCCTTTATAGAGCATTTGTCTCTACCACTAAATTCGGTAGTTCGGATATTAAGTCATATAACAAAAAAAATCGTTGATTCCTTATCCACAACGCGAAACTAAAGATTAATTATTAAAGCACACATAGGTTACGTTACCTTTAGAAAAAATGTTTCGCCTCTCGTACCGATTTCTAGTACTCCTTACTATTTTTCCGACTTCGCACAACTCTAATTCTACCACAAAACGCACACCAGCCAACAAAGATGCCTCCCAAATAACAATCCCAACAGGACTGTAAATTATTTATTTATTTGTGATGCTGGTATCTGTGACGATCTCGGGAGATAAACGTTTCCTACATTAAGAAATACCAGCTCTGCTCGTTATCGGTCGCGCAAGATAAAGATAACAAAAATAAAAACCCTGTTTGCGTTAGACTAGATAACGAATTGTTTTTGTTTAATAACAAGCAGCTGTTTCAAAACATCCGTAGACCGACTGGTGTAACACGATTTTATTGTCATCCTATACGGGGTATTCAGAAATAAGCCTTGATTGAGTCAACAGTCGTTTTATGAATTACGGATACATTTAATTTTTATAAATTCTAATAATCTGTAAGGAAACACCTCGTGGCTGGTGAGACAAATACTTTTTTATCATAAACTATATTAGGAAAGGGTTATACTAGATGTAATTTTAAGCGGGGGTCAGTTTTTTGGGGTAATATTACGTGTTTCCCTGAATACCTAAAACCTTTTGCATGATTTATTTAATTTTAACTAATATTGGTACGTAGTACGTATCTTACTAATTGGAAATAAAAGTAATTTATCTTTTAATACGTTTAGGAAAGTTAAAATAGGTAATATTAAAAAGTTATAAAATTCTAAACAAAATACGGTATGCTTCAGTCCCTTCAGCAGCCTAATTGGTACTAAATATATTAAATAAATCCAAAATATACAAAACAGCAACAAAATTAAATTTAAGCAGAATTCGATCCTGTTCCGAACGAAGAAAAAAAATTGTGATACGTATTTCTAAAGGTCAAAGGTAGCCTCCTGATAAATATGACCCTCATTCAAAGTCATACCCTGTACATCTATATATTTTTGTTCACGGTGTAAGAACTTTAATACGTCTTGACATTTAAACGCGAATTAGTAGTAGGCAGTTAGTGACGAAACTACTTTTGCGTCAGATTAAATGTTATTTGATCTCATTCGGAGCTTTGGTAGTGGGGAAATCAGCAGTTATTATAAGAAACCGTACAAATGATAAAAAGGCAATAAAGCAATGTTTACGAGAAAGATTAATAAAAACATGTACAGGGTGTTTCGCATAAGAACCGACACAGAGTAGGGAAACCCAAAATATGGTGCTTTAATGCATTATGTTTATACTAAGCTGCACCAATGAGGCTTGAAAGTAAAAAATTCGAAAAAAAATCAATTTCTCAGTTATACTTGAACTTAGAAAAACCAAATTTGGTACACGGTGTGTGTGTACCAAGAGCATTAATCGACAATAAGTAGAGTTCAATTGAAGCATTTTGAAGGGTTGGCAAGGGATGGTGCACTATTAAAATGTGACAGAATTGTTTTAACCCGTTGGCGGACTTAAAAAAATATTACTTTATTTTATGGGGAATTTATTTCTAAAACCTTTCTTACTCTCGTTAGTTTTCAAAAAACTTTGTCGTTTTCAAGAAAAACACGAATAACTAATAATACGTATTGTAACTCTTATTTAAAATCATGGAAAATTCAAAAGTTGGCTATGAATTTAAACGTCAAACTTGACGATCAGGAAAAAAAGTCATTTAATTTTATTAATTGTTTGCCGAGTGTTTTGATCGGGAAGTTTCGGATTTAGCGAACAAGTTTACATCCTATTAGTGTTAGGTTTCTGTGCAGGAAACTACAGAAGAAGTTTTGAAGAATATCGGAAAATATTTCCAAATCGTGTAATTCCCCATAGAGAAACAATTTTCTAATGTTGAAAGACGTGCTCGAAAAACACTCCAGAATGTGCTATTGTAATCAGGATAGAAGACCAAGAACTTATTTTGAATACAATTGAAGATGACCCACATATTAGTACTAGAATTTTATCTCGACAAACTGGTATATCGCAAACTTCTGTGATCAGACGTAATCTACTATACCCATATCATATCCAAAAGGTGTTATAGCTGTTTTACATTGACAATTTATTGATGAATTAATTCATGAAGTCGCTTCATCAAGAAATTGGACAAGTGTAATGCACCAAATCTGCTGTCAAATAACTTGATGAATTAGAGCATGTTCTAATTTTCGTCAATTTCTTCGTGAAGTTCGGAAGTACCAACCCAACAGATTTCCAGCCTCAGGTCAGTAATGAGGTTATGTTATTGGAATATGTAAATAATTGTGTGGCGTCGTACTAGTTTTGCATTGTTTTTACTGATTTGTTACTTACAAAAACTAATATTTATATAATATGTGTCAGAACGGTACCGCTGTTGTATCGCTACAATTATGAGTGGAAAGGTGACATTTTTGAAATTTATTTGCTTCTTTGATTCATTGGTAGAACCGATTCATGCGTCAAAAAACTTGACAAAGTCCGTAGCAGTGTAAAACCACACTGTTTACCAATAAATTCGTGAATTAGGTAATTCATAAAGAACTTCGTCAATTTATTCATCAATAAATTGTCAATGTAAAACAGCTATAAGAATTGTTACTGAATGACTTGGTTAAACGAGTGAATTTCTGTCAGTTTATTTTACATCAAGGCATTAATTTTCAAAGAAAATTCTCTTTACTGATGAAGCTTGTTTCACCCGCAGAGGTGTTACAAATTTACATAACTATCATGAGTATTCCTCATTCAGTAACTCTTCGATATTTCCAACGCGAGTTTAATATAAATGTTTGGATCGGTGTTATTGATCGGTATTTAATTGGTCCAGTTATTTTACCGAATCGACTAAATGGCGAAATTTATTTAGAATTTCTCCAAAACACTCTCCCGGATCTACTTGACGAGGTGCAACTGAGACTGGAACATTGGATTATGCATGATAGAGCACCCCATCATTTTAGTAATATCTTTAGGGACACCATAATCCAAATTGGAAGAGGTAATAATTGCCCACAAGTTTGGTCTCCACGATCACCAGACTTCAACAAATGTGACTTCTTTCTTTGGTCAACGTTAAAAGAATGGGTGTATTCCTCGCTAGTTGCGCCTCGAGCAGAATTGTGGAATCGTATTACGGATAAATGCACATTTATTTGAAACAATCAGCTGTTATTGGATAGAGTAGACAATTTTCGACGAAGAATAAATTTACCTATATCTGACATCATCATTTTGAACAATTTCTATAACTTATCAGCGCAAATTGTTATTTCTGTTGTTCAAGTTGTTTGTTTTTCTATTAAATTATTCTTATCCCAAGTTTTATTCCAGATTGTCAACGTTTAAATTCATAGCAAATTTTTGAATTTTCGATGATTTTAAATAACACAGCTACAATACGTATTATTAACTATTCGTGTTTTTGTTGAAAACTACAAAGTTTTTTGAAAACTAACAAGAGTAAGAAAAGTTT